ATACAGCACACTTCTCCTGGTAGCGTTCTGCGCAAAAGACCTTCGTTGGCAACTCGAGGATCAACGATCACTTCCTGTTCCGCCAATTTCCTCCGTCCTACAACCGCACTTCTGCCGATCAGTCCCACGAATCAAACCGCTAACTATCGAAGGTGTAAATCCTTTCTAGCAGGGAGCTCCTGTAGGGACCTACTTTTGTCAACAGAACGCGATTGGTTCAATGAAAACAATTATTATTATAACCAATTGTACCACCGTCACCATTGTCTTCAGTGAGCTGATATCTCACAACAGACCTGGTTAAACTCCACTGGTCACGGCTTCTCACTAGAACTCCAGGAGTATCTCTTGAAGTCAGTCATTAGTGAGCAGATGATTATTATCAGAAGGGGGTTCGTGGAGATTTTAGAAATTTCACGCTCTCGCGCGCTAAACTGATAGGTATTGGGTGCGAACCTCGCGGGGGCAGGATCGTGGATGCGCACTGCTGAGGAGTCCCATACTAGGACGAAACGGTCGTCTAATACTTCCAGGTTTTTCATGGTGGTGTAGCTTCAATTGACTCATGATTTCGACTATTGAGATGTATTCTTAACAATTTTCACAAGTACGCTGCAACAGGTTTGTCGTGTAATGTTCTGAAATATTTACATATATTTATGACATTTACTGTATTTATCAATATAATTACTTTCTCTCACTTCCTGTAAAAGTTATACCCAATTTCGTATGGTCCTTAACCGTTGTTTGGACGCAACAGCTTTCATGCTTGTTTGCTTTTGGTTCTGCCTTTGCTTGTTGATAAACTGTTATCAAGACTAAACACAGCTATCAGCAGTCAGTCTCACTATCGTATGTCACAGTTATTCTTTATGTTATTACTCGAGGCAGCACTTTTTTCCCAGACATACGGATGCGTTAAGCACCACAGATACCTCCCAAGTTGAGGTTTGTAATTAACTTATGTCTATTACTCAACAAAAAACCTCTTTTTAGATAAGTCGCTGTTTTATGAACTTCAGTTTCGCGCGCCCTTCAATCGTGTAAAATGTAATGTATTTCTAAGGTTGTTATGACCAGGATAGATATACAAAGTATTTAAGGGAAATAATCAACTTACAACTCTTCCTTTGACTGAACGAATTTTTCCTAATGTTAGTGGTTTTTTATTAAACTTAGTATCGTACTCAAGCAGTAACAATAGTGAGATAGAAATGATGGGAATAAATACACTGAAGGTATTAGTATCTAGACCGTATTATACATCTTCTGCACGAATATATACCGTATTATGTTCCATACATGTTAGCTTCTTTTGAACACACTTGAAAACTTTGTTAAACTCTTGATTTTTGTTAGGCCACGCAAACCATTTTTAGTTTGTCTGTTTTATATTCTTACTTTATACGCGCTTGGGTAATTTACGCTGCTTATCCGGCTGTATATAAACACACTTGCTGCTTGCTTTGAATTGTCTGTTGTTTTTTTCCAGATGATGTTCCTGGGTCTTCTGTTTGTCCGGAATATACATTCTATGAACATCTACAGCTAAATTTGACCTTACTCTAACTAGCTCAAAATAATAAGATGTAATGTTTGTATTGATTAGTAATTCCTCTTCACATTTTCCCGTGCCTTATTTAATTTCAAAGAACACATCCGGGCTTTCTCTCTGTATTTTTACTAACTAAAAGTCTGGTCTATATGTGACCATCAGACTGTAGTGACCTACTTTTATCAACAGAACGCGATTGGTGTGACGGAAACAATTACTATTATAACCAATTGTATCAGTGATTGTTTTACTGTACTTGTTTGTTTATCTGTACCAAAGACATTCTTCCTTCCGTTGATTGCGACATTGTACGCGTTTACGTTTGCTCAGTGAACCCGATTGTACTCCTTTGGCACGATCTCGGTATTCTTTCGATACCATGAGATCGCCAACAAATGCATCTCGACTACAGCCATCAACTGCCTTCCTATATTGGCCTACGGGGATCATATTGGTTAACTGGCACGTAGTCTTCTTGTAGTGGTGTTCATAGCCAACCGCGACTCGACACCACTCCACAAGACAATGAATTCCAATATTCCAGATTGTTTCATAAGTGTCTGAGCTATCAAAGGTTATGAGGTTGTAGTTGTGTCGAGTCGCAGTTGACCAAGTTCATCACCACAGATCGATTACGTGCCAATTATCAGGTTAGACCCCTTCGCAGTACAAATATTAGGAGGCAGTTGTAGATTGTAGTTAGGATGTATTTGTTGACGATCTCATGGTATCAAAATAATACCGAGATCGTGCCAAAGCTTGCAGGCAGAGACTACAGTGCATACGTGTGTCCAAGGTCAAAAACAACCGAAAAGTGTGTGTTTTCGTACAATTAAATAAAAAGGTACAGTAAAACAATCACTGATACAGTTAGTTATAACAATAAATGTTTCCATCACACCAATCGCGTTCTCTTCATAAAATTAGGTCACTACAAGGTGATATAAAATTGTGGAGCTTAAAGATAGGTAAAAGTCTAAACATCATGCCACCTATATTTGTGTCACATAAGCTTTATTATTTCCAACACCTTATAATCACCCGAATCCATACAAATCGAACTCTATATTATCACAAACTTGTATGTATTATCGACCACTGTGTATAAATATAAATAGTTGGTTTATTGCACATCAGGACATTGAGTTTAGAGCATGTATCTCATGGATTAATTTGAGTTCAACGAATTACCGTCAGTTATCTGTCCGAGATTCATATAATTATCAATATTTTCACATGTTAAATGAATTTTTGATAACAATTTATGTGTAATAGTAGTACTACTAAATCGCATAATGGTTAAATAATAACAAGATCGATAAAATATCCTCGTAACCAAATAAACCGAACTAAACTTAATAAGCTTACTGGAACACAAGTTAGAATTCTTACTCTCTGCGGTTAAACTTCTGTTACTTCACTTGACCTGTGATGGTATTGGCTAATAACCACACAAACTTCAAAGCTGGACATATAATCACTGAGAAAACTTACTTTCAATGTATAACACTAAGAGAAGGTCTACAAGGGTTGAAGCGGGAACATCCAAATTAAATGAATCCGATGGAATGTTTCAAGCTTGTAGACGTGGTCGTTCATGTGTAATTTATCTCATTTGTTCATATTAAATATATAAATGTGTTCTTTAGGAGCTGGTTGATATTTGTAGCTCAAGTGGATGATTTAGATGGGGTTTTTTTCTCTGAGCTGGATGATTTGGTCGTGGAGCTTTCATCATGATGTCGTTAAGAAGAACGATGAAAGCTCCACGACCAAACCATTCAGTTCAATGAACAAAACCCCATCAAAAGTTCTTTAGGAGCACTAGACACCATGTTGCTGACGACCTTATCAGGACGATTCAGTGTAGACAATGATATGACTTCTATGTAAGATCTTATAGATTAGGTGGTCATACCATATTACCATTATAACAAAGATAGATGTACTAATACCGAACTGGACCACAAATATGAAGACACATGACACTCGAAAACAGGAATAATCGTGATAACTGAAGTCATTGATTAAAAAGACATTCCCAGATATTTACTATTTGAGTACTATTACAAGTTTCATCAGCATGTGGATGAATTAAATAGGATTTTCCTCAGCAGTGAACTCATCACTTAGCATTTCTAATAGAGACAATGAAAGTATCTTGCAGCATCGCTAAAAGGTTTTCAAGGCATATTCGGTTTCGAACTTGAATACAAGTACCAAAAACATACTGGCTGTTATTGACTTGTCTCAGTCTTTCCCTAAACATAACCCTATCCGGTAAACCTTTAAGTTGTTTGATAATATGTGCTATAGGACTAATTGAGCCTGGTTGTGCGTGTTCATGGTGTTTACATTTAGCCGAATTCTGGACCTCCTGTAGCTACTAGAGCTCATATTGAATAAAAATGGGGAATTTCTATATTCTGCTATCACTCAGTCTGTCGATTGAAGTATACGAGTGGCCGAAGTGGAGATTTTTGGCTACACGAACATAATCTTCAACAGCGATTGGGGATTCCAAGAAGTTAAATGACACTGCGGAGCAAATAATCAGTCGTTTTGTGATTATATATATCTGTGTTTACTGGCGATGATATGCTCAAAGTCATCCCAATGTTAGATAGCTTTATCTTAGCTAGTGTGTGAACCTTTTGGAAATATCCGTCACGAGGGTATTATCGGCTATGTAGAATGAATTCGCACTCATATTAGATATCTTGGTTGATCTCAGATATTGATTAATTTTCGATCCGACTAGTTAAACAATCCATTTCAAACGAACCTTCTTTAGTTTGTTTCTATTCTTAATATGCCTGATTTTCTGTGATAGAACTAACGCTGGCTTTAGAAGTAATTATGGTCCCATTAGAGATTTTGGTTGTATTGATACTTGGTGGTTATCTTTAACTTTATAGTACAGGGACAGATGTTGGCCTCCATGAAGAATATTTTTATTAACGTACCGAATATGCTGTTGCGCTTAGAGAAAATAAAAAAGCTCTGCCCGGATTGAATACACGTATTTCAAGTCAATAACTCCATGCAACTCAATGCGAACATCGATTTACATATGATACGATCTTGTATCTTCAAGATATATGTCTGTTTCTGATCATGATTAAGAAAGCGAACGTATTTTCACCCTCAGAACTAAACATCAATAAGAGTTACATCGATCTGAAGCCCTTCAGCTTTAAGATGATACAAACATGATCTTTGAAAAGAAACAAACGTGTGTGTTAATTACAAGTAATGTTTTACTGAAAGAAATATACGCTCTTCGAGGCCCAAATAAAAAACACATGCAATCATTTGAAATACACGCATAGGTTGTAAATATCGAAATGCAAAAGCTAGTTATTTCAGATACTGACCGCCTTCGTGTTCGAATATACCAGATTGCCTGTTTCTAGGTCACCTGTTTTTTAAAAGCTTAAGCGTGATGGGGGGAACAATGAAGAAAAAGGTAGGTTTCTGGTGAGAAAGTATTACATTCCTATGCTAGCACACGAAAGGTCAGGTTGTTGCGTTTCTCAGTCAAAAACAGGCAATGAGACGCTTGCAGCTAAACCTTCCTAATTTCAGGTAGGTTTCTCACTTGCTCTCTCATTTTTCAGACGGCTATGTATATTGAAAGGGATATATCCAGTAGAACCCAGAAGTAGAAAAAAAGTTGGAAAGGGAAACAGTCAACCTAGGGTTTATTACAATGCAAAAGACATAGCGTTTCTGTCACATGAACCTTTAATAGAAACGTTTAGGAAACTTCGGATATTCCACGTAAAGCTCAAGAAAGCACGAGAAAAGAAAGATAAAGAGAAGGAGTTTCGAATAAGGATAAATAAGCCAAGATACACGCTTCATCAAATCGTAAAGGAAAGGTATCTGTCATGTCTTGATTCACTAGTTTTAGATACCCTACGAGGCAGGATGCCCTACGGGATATAAGTGACAGCCTTAACTTATTGTTTCTCTTCGAGAAGCTTCCTAAACTCACCCAATTCCACCCTTCTTTAATCTCTATAAGTCGAAGACTGTGTGTGGAATTTTTGAATCTCGTTGTGGCAACACAAGCAGTTCGAAAGGTTAGTTGGAATAAACTAATAATTATGTCAAAAGGCATTTATTAGCATAAAGGGATTTTATGTTCAAGCTGAAATTGATGGGATTCCAGTAGTCTGGATTATGCCCCATGCTTCTGTTACTCACACCCCAACTGATGTCGATTACCGTATATTGGCAACTTGTCTGGAATTTGATGCTACACTTATTGGGTCTTTGATGTGTCAGTAAGTTTCTTTAATAACTCAACCACTTCAGTTTGTACCGAATCAATAACCTAGTGTACCCCCCAAAACTCGCTGTGCGTGTTGAGCATGATCCGAACGGATACTACTGTGGCCAAAAAGAGAGCCTTTTTGAGGTAGTTTCGTATTCATCTCCACTGTGAATCATAATTTTAGTTTATGTCGTCCCTCAGCTTCCCACTAAAACGCACAGAGCCGCCAAACGATGTTGACACTGATGATTTGACAGAGCTTCAGGTAATTTTAATCATTTTGTGAGTGGATTAGTCGATGTTCGTTAAAATCACTACTTCATGAGCTATATCTATTTGATTTTGAACACTGATTCTTAACGATACCAAAAAATTATGACAGAACACTTTACATACCTAAATGTTTCATGTTACTTGCAAAAAAATCACGGTTATAAAAGGGCAATACGCAGTATAAGTAGAATTTGTACTCCGAATAACTAAATGTCCCGTAAAGTAAGCAATCCACATATCCTCGAGTGAACTTCATTCACAACAACTAGCACACAGCGATTCAACATTTAGCAGCCGACATGAAAGGAAGAAGTTCAAAAAAAGAATTAACATCCAAGCAGAATAGTTCGAAATAGTATTGGTCAGTATATATAGTTGCGCAAGCCGATCCGTAAAGTACACAGAGAATTCGAAGTAGTGATAAGCAGTCAGATAAATTAAGGGTCGTGTGAAAAATCAAGTTCACAAGAGAGCACTCACAGTTACCGTTATTAATAAAACTTAAACATTAACGAAACTTGAGTAATACCATGATCTAAGCACCACGAAAAGTGATATTCAGAGCCAAGCACATAAGCTTGCACTTGATCATTGTGTTACACTTGATATTTTCTCTATTGAGTTTAAGTTTAAAATCCACATATTTTCAAAAATTTCAGGTGTATAATTATATCTCATTCAATATATGTCTCAATGTCTAGTGGATGAAACTGTTAGGATGTTGAGCCATATGACATAAGATTTTACTCATTTGTTTACATACTGTAATCTTTTTTGTGAGACATTCCAGCAAGATATTCTACTCAATATTGTCGTGCTTACTAATAGTTAATTGGTTTTTACCTACCTGTTTTAAGAAATATACTGCTATAAACTATGTGCTCGAACTTGTAAGCAATCCGAGAGCATTCTGTGCTGATGACTATTCAACGACCAACTTTAGTGTTGGATATCCGTTTTCTTTAGTAAAATCATGTGTTCATTTGTTTAGAAAATGTAAAAAACTCAGTAGATTGAAAATGTCCCTTGGTATATCTCAACTGTTAAAGTTTGTTTTATAATCCTAGGCTATTGATGAGCAGGTTTCGCAAGCGATAAGTAAGCAAATAGAAGTTCAAAACGTGAAAAAACTTTTCAAAAACAAACGGTTTTTCCTTATGCGTGAAGTTCCACGAGAAGTAATATGTTTGATTATACGGTCTTGTGGCGGGGAGTGTTCCTGGGATAAAATTGTTTCTCCAGGATATACATTCCAAGAAGATGATCCTACTATTGACTATCAAGTAGTAGATCGTCCGATGACAGATATGAAATTGACACGGTAAGTTCGTCTGTTAACCACCTCAACCAAATTATTGATGCTTAACTAATTAACGGGATTTAAAGTTTACAGTTCTCTGACAACTCATTATTTCACTTTTTTTTGGTTTAATAATCTTTTGGTATTATACCTTTAAATAAAGTGCTAATAAATGTATTATTATTTTACCAACAAGTTGCAGCAAAAGCCACACATGTTTGTACTTATGTATAACTTGACAACCCGAATCTAATAATTCATTACATAGTTAACTTGTAGTGAAAGTTGGGAAAATCGCGTTGTGGGATTTCAATTCGTTATTCTGCCCGATCATAGAAAGCCGCTTAGCAGTTTCATTGCTTGGAGCCGGCACGACAGTTTTAAATATGTATTATTCGTCGTGATTTTTTATGTCGAAAGTGAAGGCTATACTCAGAAATCGTTGTATTAAAGTGTAACCAGAAACTTGGTTGCCGGATGAACTGCTGTAACAAAGCTTGAGTCTTTCCACATACTGTTCTCGCACAAACTAACCAGCGAGTACATTCAAAGAAGTAGGTAACTATAGACACGCTGTACTTGGAATATGAAGACGAGTATAGGCAAAATGTAACTTGGCACAAAAATGTGATCTTAGATGCCTCATTACATACTGACAGTGAAACTGGAAACCGAAGGTAATACTCCCAACTTCATTCTAACTCTACGGAAGCTAACAGGCCCCAAAATTCTTAAGTATGATAATAAAACCCAGGACTGATCTGTTTGTGGTTAATGATATAGAGTATTAATGTTATCTTCTATCACGTGAACATTTTAGCTAAATATGAAACAATTTTACTACATATTTTGCGGAATAAAATGTGTTAACTTTATGGGATACGTCTTTTCCAGATTATCAACTCAAAACGAATAATATAGGCCACCGTAGATGTCTTTATTATTAGATCAGTATGCTTTACCACTTAAAGACGTAGGTGTATTATACGAACGCTTACCATAAGCATTGTCGTGAACGGCATAAGTTGACACCTTTGATCCTTCCGCTTTGTCATTTTTCTTCTAATGTTTAATCTAAAGAAATAAATTCCGTAGTTTCTGTCGACCGAGTGAATTTCACACAGAAAAGACACATTGGTTTCGCTTATGTAAGGTTTGGTTTAGTCATTAGAATTTTTAAACAAATTATAACAAAGAATAGTGCTTAAAATCTCTTAACCAAGTCTCATTTCTATTATTATTCAACGACAGTTATTATGTCCAACCACAGTGGGTTTTCGACTGTTTAAATGCAGGGAGACTGCTGCCAACACAAGATTACTTACCGGGTTGTAGTCTCCCACCTCATTTAAGTCCGTTTATTGGAAGTTCCGGTACTGATGAACTTTTAGACACTGCAGTTATGTCACTTTCAAACCGTGGTGGACTTGTCGGTGTTGCTCCTGGATTTGGGGATGGTGCATCCATCTATCGTCCACCAGAGGCTGATTACCTTGCTGGTTTGGTGAGTCTGGCTGAAATCCGTGGAGCTAGAGTCCAAGCCCAGTCTGAAGGCACTATCGAGAGCCAGTCAGAAGTGGATAACGACCTTTTGGATGATTCTTCCACTAAAGAAAAAAATGATTTAAAAACCAATGTACAGACAAAGGAGCGATCTAAACTTAAGAAAGTTTCAAAAGGTATGCTTTATACTTGACTAAGCTTTGGCTTTCTCAATATTTTTTACACGTAATGTTTTGGTAATATTATATGAATCACTAATGAAAACACTTATTATTGTCATTATTATGATACCGATCTGACAAATGCAAGTTTGCGTACTCAGTTTTGAGATACACTGTGTTAGGGCTAGTAATATTGCTCGGCCGCACAAATGAAAGTAGGTGGAACGGGGTTCGACCCTGGTTTTACCACTAAAATCACAAATGTAAATTCCACACCTATAATATTTGGGCTAGTATATATTCATACCAAGGTTGGATTATTTATCATAATGAAACAACTTTTAATCCTTCAATGAGTAGGTAATTGGGTTACCGATGTTGCGCAATGTCAGTCAGTCAGTAACAACGTGGAACTTCGTACGTACGTACATCAGTTCGAGTTGCCATACCACATTAGCACAGAGACTCAGTTATCGATTCAAATCCCATAGTGGTAGATGTACTGAAAGTATAAGTAGAGATAGGGGACATTAAGGTTTAATGATGTTATTAAAGGAGTATAGTCCAGTGGAATAAATTGGGAAAGAAAATAAAGGACATGAAGAATTCAGAAGATTAGAGTTTGAGAGAACACAAAGAGTGGATGCACCTGCGCCATTGCAAACGATTTTGAGCCATGTCATTCAAGGTCTCTAACCATCGGTTGCTATCGTCTTGCGGTCCCCAACCAGGTAGTCTACACCTACCAACATGACTCAGTCCACTTGTCAGTGACTTCATGGATTTGTGCCATGTTTTGGTCTGGCCGCCCCTAGCTTTCTTCCAACCTACTTCTACACCATAAAACATAGCACGTCGGGGCAGTCGGTGGTCGGGCATGCTCAACACATGTCCCAGCCATCTCAAATGATTGAGTTTCACTACTTCATCAATTGATTTGCCATCCTTACCTAGTACCCGTTTCCTAACAACTGAGTTACTTACTCGGTGGTCCCAGGATATACGAGCAATGTTTCGAAGACATCTATGATCAAATACTAGTAACCTACGAATATCCTCTACTCTTATCGGCCATGTTTCACTGCCATTGTTGCGCAATGTAGTTCATATTGCTTCAATTACAAATGTACTATTTTGTTATTATAATATTTGTGCTAGTTTAGTGCACTTCCATTTCCTGGTCGCTCAATCAGTGAATGGGTGCTTCGGAAACACTGTACGGTTATTCTCCATAGAACTTAAAAAAACAGACCTTGTGTATATTACATAAAGTCAGTGTTTGGGATGAGTTTCTTCCCCTCTGAATGCAAGTTGCTGCTTCAGAACTGGCCTGCGTCAACACCTGAACTAAGGTTAGGGAGTGAAGTAGTCAAGTGCGTCGACAACTTCACTTATCTTGGAAGTCTGATCAGTCCTAATGGGTTGGCGTCTGACGAAATCTCAGCACGGATTCAAAAAGCTCGTTTGGCTTTTGCCAATTTGCATCACCTGTGACGAAGGCGACATATCTGTCTATCAATTAAAGAACAAGTATATTGCACAGGAGTTCGTTCTGTTTTACTTTACGGCTGCGAAACATAGCCATTAAGAGTGGAAGATACTCGTAAGTTACTAGCATTTGATCACAGATGTCTTAGAAATATTGCCAGCATCTGCTGGAATCATCGGGTAAGTAATAATGAGTTTAGACTCAGGGTATAAGAAAATGATATTAAATCAGTTGATGAGGTCGTAAATCTTTGTCGACTGAGGTAGTTGGATCACGTATTACGCACGTCCAACCATCGATTACCACGATGCGCAACGCTGACTAGTGTTAGAAACGGATGGAAGAAAGTTAGGGGCGGCCAAACCAAAACATGGCATCAGTCCTTGAAGTCACTAACATCTGGTTTAAGTGATGTTGGTAGATGCAGACTACTTGGTTGGGTCTGCACGACTATTGTAACTAGTGGTTGGAGACTATGTGACATGGCTCAGAATCGATCACAATGATGTAGGTGTGTACACTATTTGTCTTCCTTTAAACCGTGAGATTAAAATTACTTTATACCTTTATTTCTACGAACTAATCCTTTCTCCCTGCTTCTATGAATTTGGTGTTCATCTTTTGGTGCTAATGAGGTGCGGCAACTTGGACCAATGCACGAATGTGCCTGGTCTTAAGTTGTGACTGACTGACTGACCGATATAATAGACTTTGATAGGATAATTTCAAATATTTCACTGAAATGCACAAATCTTTATTGTGGTCAATAATTCATAATGTATTGGACGAATCTAAAAAACAAAGCAACCTGAGATCTAGCATGATTATTTATCAATTCTGGTTACCAAACCTCCTTAGAGGATAGAATTAGTGAAATCAAATTTTAATGAAGTGAATCTTACATACATGCCATAATATGATGTCCAGTATTTTCAAAACGCATATGTAGCACAATTACTTTTGAATCACTTTTCTCAGCTGTCAACATTTCCAACTAACAGGACTGTGTCTGTTAGGTCTCCTTGTTTTAAGATCACTATTCTCAATCTTCGAGCAAAAAATGTAATCTTCAACTCGAATAGAATTTGATATGGTTTGTAAAGGTGTATTTGGTCTTTCCAACTGTACCCTTTTATGGTTCATTGTTACGCACATAGTTAGAATATTACAAACCAATAATAGTTATTATTCTATTTATGTGATGGTTGAACAATTAAAATAAAGATCGTTCCAAATTATTTTTGATCTAAATAAAATATAATTATTCCCACGAGTTTTAAGTTATTTGCTTTTCTGTTATTTGGGGAATAACAACATTAGGTAAGGAACCCAAAGTAACACCTGGTCGAGCTGAAAGCAAAACAGTTAAGATGTACAAAGAAAAGGAGGAAGCAAATGCTGAACGTGAGTTAAGGGAGTTAATGTTGCCAAAAAAACACAAAAATGTATATAAGAAAATGGTACATTCTATCAAGCGAAAAGAAAAAGAAGCGCGCCAGTTAAAAGCAAAACGACGTCGAATTGACATGTAAGTGGCATTAAAGTATGTATATTCTTGAATTTGACTACCGTTTACTTGGGTAATTTAACCTACATATGACACTTCTTGAACTTTCTTGATAGACTTGTTATAATATATCACACTACCAGGTAGAATTCTTCAATTTTTTTTTGTGTGAATAAAACACTCACTGTTAATATAAAGTAGTCATTCAATGGTGATTACCTTCCTTTGCTATTCCAAAATCTTGATATAGAATAAATGGTTTTTTCTTTTGCACAATGGTTCGATTGTTAGTCCGTTTATGCATTTTCTTGGGCTATAAATTACTTATGATATGAGTTGTCAAGATTTTCTTCGCCAAAAACCTGATTCTCCCTAGGTTTTTGATATCACCTCAGTTGCCATTCAGTTTAAGCTGTATTAGTGGAACGATCAATTAAATGCTTATCAGCACCAGTTTGTTACTGAAACAGAAGATTCAATCAAAGCGAGAAGTAACTAGTAAGAAAAACATACCTTTTAAAAATTGTACCTATAGTTTCATAAATTACAGTCTGAGATGAGTTCTACCATCAACTGAATGAGTTCAACTAAACTTATTCAACAAATATAGTTGTGACATCCAATGACTTAAATGCTTGTTTTTAAGTGTTCAGATATGAAGGGGACTACTAAACATTTGTTGATTTCAAATTATGTAGCATAGGCTGCCTTCTTAAGCCTTTACTTATACCCAGTTGATATCCTCTGTAACTGAAACTTAAGCTCAAATCGTAATGCGAAATCGGTTACTGATGGTCCAGATGTTTACAAAACTTCTATTTGTTTAGATTCACCTCCTTGGTCATAATGTAATATCTTTCAAACTCATCTTCGGTTTCAGTTGTTAGCATATCAATTGTCTCAGATAAAGGGATTAAATAAACTGGCTTCCATTTACCTTTTCCACTCGATAGAAAATTGAATTGGGTATCATAGCTCACACACAATCAAGTGACTTGTGTGGTGCATATGTATCTGGTGCCCCTTTGTACTAATATTTATGCCTTCAAATAAATAAGTAAATAAAAGTTTAATATTAGTCATTCCAGTCAACTGAAAGGCACAAATACGGATTAGTTACAGTTACATAGCTCAATGAAAAAGCTGGTAGTCTTTTAAGACTTTAAACAACGGTTTGTCCATAAATTCAGGATTTCTATCGTCTCTCTACAACCTCTTGATGCCAGTTAGTCTATTTCAACAGTGTCCACAACTTAAAATCCAACACAATATACATGGGTGGTGTCAGTTTCTAATGTACGTCAGTAAAAACATACAGGTCGATGGCATGTAGTCTTCATTAACAATCTCTGTTGTTATAGGAGACAGAATCACTGAATATCTGTATTTATCATTGGGTAAGTTTTCTAAGTAAAACCAGTATATATTTTTTGATATACTAACTTGAATTGCTAATTGTAGTAAAAAATTTTTAAGACATAAAATTCAATTTATAGACATGATACGTCAGCTATTGGGGTTTTTAGCGATCTCTTCTGTTTGTTGATTCAATAACCATAACTTTAGTACGAGTGATATTTCCTCATCACAGTTTTATTTATTTTCATCATTTATTTATTTTTCTTAACTTTCAGGGGAACTGGATGAAAGCTGTAATTACTTGATATGATTTATACAACAAAATAAAATAGTCAGACATTTGAACCTTTTTTTCATTGAATGTGGTTAAGCAGAGAACTAGTAGTTTGAGCATTTATTTGTCAGCTAATTAGTTACAAGTTCAAACTTAAACCGTATTGTTCATGACTAACTGAAAAATGTCGACTGATGAAATACCACTCAATAGATAGGAAAAGGTTTTCCCGATTATTCACGGGATTTTATTTTAATATCCGTTTGACCATAGTACCATTACTCCTGTGATTTGACTTGTTTTCACAACAATTGATAAACTTAAAAGTGTATTTCTTTCAAGTTCTTGGAGCTCACAGGTTAAAGGAAACTCATAGATATACTTCCTGTATCATGTGCTTACTTGACTTTTAATTTAGGACTAGTAATCGTTGTTAAAATATGACGAAAAATAAGGCCCTGGTTTTCCTTCTTACTATTGTGTTTTTTGTTTCCCTTCCTTTTCATGTTTCACTTATAAAAATTCTTACCCTTTTTAATTTCTTTCATTCATTCTTCAAGTTTTAATGATAATGCTTCATATTAAGATAATTACCGATCAAGTGTAATGAATGACTTGAAATTACAAGATAAGGGTCTATAAGGAGGTGAATGTAAAAACCTTTCAATTAACTTAATCCCTCATGATTACTGTCGATTATTTTCTACGTCTAACAACCGATAAGAGAAACAAATATTGATCACATGATTCTCATTTATAGATTTTTGTTTAATTTAGCAAGTGATCAAAATAAATTTTAGAAATTTTTTAAAAATAATTTAACACAAGATAAATTAATGAATTTTAAAATATTGATTTATCAATATTCCTTCATTGGAAACAACTTCAATGGGTTAACTGTGAGTGCTTAATCGTTATCAGAATTCTTATCTCTGTATTAAATTAGCATATTCATCAAATGTTCAGCGAATGTACATTTTTCATATAGCGATTATATATATATATATATATATATATATATATATATATATATATATATATATATATAGTGACCTATAGGTATGTGATGTGTGCTACTTATGAAGACATAAGTAGTATATGATGTTTGTCGTGAACAGAATGTCTGGCAGCAGACGGACAAAAAGACCGAACAGTAAAGAATGAAGACGGAATGCAATTTGTGTGAAAATGCAAGAACAAAGGAAGTCTGAGTCGTTTGAGACAATTGATGGACATTTTGCAAATTGAGCATTTACTATATGGTTGTTAGATTTTACTAACTAGTTCTGTAATTTGTCGTCAAGTACATTCGATTGTCCCCCATTGGTGTTCTGTTCACTAAAGGTATACTGCGTTGCATTTATTTGTTTTATGGAAGTTTTCAAATTCACCGGAATAATTCACCTAAGTTCGATTAAAATGGGAAAACTGTCTAGGCTTCTCGGAGAAATAATATACGATTATGAATGAACAGTAAATGGATCTAAAATAAGTAATCATTAGTTTAGGTTAAGAAATTCATATTCAAAGTGATGAGCCCAGGAACGGTAGCTTGCTTTTGACATATAAGCATAAAATGACCAGTTCATTATAGCCGAACTGACAAAGTATACCTACCTACCTATAAGACAATAGTTAGTTTACGGTTAACCAGTTAAGTGCACGGAAGAAAATTGTACAGTAAGAATCTAGTTACTCATAAGTAATGCAGTTATAATTCGAAAATCTCACGAAAGCAGAAATTTTGACATATTTTTTTATAGTCGTTTGGCATACTTTGAAATCTAAAAGTGTATCCCTTATGAAGTAAATATATAATTTTTTACTGTGAAATTTCATTTATGTTTTCGAGAGAACTCGAAATTTCAATTATTTATCATGTGACTATTCACTATGAGTTGCCATAAAATCATGTATTATAAATTAATATAATGTCTACCATTGGAAGACCCATTAGTTTACTACTAAATAAAAAGCAGATTGGTGCCTGAAATCTTGTGGGTTATTATGCTTGAATAATTCAAGAACCATCCTATGCTCCTCCAGGAGTGGTAAAAGGCGTAAGTAAGTAATGCAAGAACAAGAACAGTAGCACAATAAAATGAATTCGTTTCATGATCTTGTAGTGGGTTATCTTCAAGATAGTTCCTAAGGCTTTGTATATCACTCGTCCTTATAATCGTTATTAGATAACTTCCTGCGGTGTATAGATTTCAGAAGATAATACGAAGCACCACATCATTAAACCACAAACAACGAATTCGAGCAAAAATGTGAATATGAGCGAGCGAATACATAAGTGGATTAAAAGTTGAATAATGAGCAAAATTGATTAATAAGATCCAAGCACACTTATAGCGGAAAGCGAATTAGTCGTCATGCGATTTATGCAACTAATACTTAAGATATGGGAAGGATATGTTTGTAGACTGTAACGCATGATCAAGAACACATGTTCATACAGATTTGATAATTATAATAATAGAGAATTATTGACGAATTCTTACCGTTTGAATAACTCTGCTAAATAAGTTAACTGGAGGGCTTAATTAAATGTAAGTGTAAATTAGGTGCTTACAATCTACAAATGATTATTTGCAACCAATATACAGTGTATCATATTAATGAAGATTGGGGGGGGGGGAATAACAACAAGTGTGGAAGGAATACAAAATATCACAATTGATTGATCACTGGGTGACCGATGTCATGCGTGTCTAGTCCTTATTATACAAAATATCAAAATGAACGCATATTTTTGCTATGAAGTGTGAAAATTCTCGAAATATATTTTTAGACATTTGGAAATTAATGTTGGACGTAATAACAAGGTCTAAATTAGGTAGATTAACAGAATAAAATAAGTAAGGCTAAAAAGATGAAAAAAATAAAGGAATTTATAACTAGGAACATGAAATAAGAAATCGCTCAGTCGAATAATGAAAATCAGAATCCATCAAAGTGAAACGAAAAGTTTCAATTTGAAATCGCTTGAGTGCTGATTATTTTGGACAATGTGTTTACTTTTATTGATCTTGATGTGTAAATAATTGAATACTAAGAGACCGGTTCAGCTGTTGGATACATCCTTTTAACTCAGTACTCTAGAACTAATCATATTAGCTACCTCATCACCTTTGAAGCTAAGTCGTAAAGACTGGCTTTCTCGTAACTATTGGACATTCCATTCCCTTCGTTATTGTATTTTTTCATACTTACTGAAGAACCTTTCTAGGTAACTAAGATCTCAGGCATTTTTTGACGATTGTTAATTCTTCTTCAATCTCCTATTACGAACATAGTTTCAATATATGACTGAATAGTATTCTAATCGAAGCCTTTTCGTACTTATTTGAAACTATTGGAATCCAAATAAAGCTCACTCCTAGAGCCTTTTGAATAAATAGATCTTTCTGTTTGGCGACTAAGATTTATTTGAATCAAGAAAGTAAAATTTATCATGATGTACGTGTTCCATTGTAAACTTTATTTTTGGCTGCGCTATGTTGAGAAGATTCAGCGAAAAAGTTCTCCACAGACATTAATGGAAGATTCCACCTATCATAGTAACAGTAGGTTAACTTCACAGCTAATTATATGATTTAATATAACTTGTTAAGCTCAGCAGATTCTCTATAGTCTAGGTTAATCTGTACTATTGCTTTCAACATCTATGCTACTAAGGATAATTTTTAATATTAGTAGTATATGACAGTGATATCGAGCATGTTAACTACCTTTCAGATATGATCTAGGAGACGTTGTTCAGCTTTGAGAACTCCGGAATATAATCGTGTTTACTCTATATTAGTTGATTATCGTAAAGACGATCCCTGTAATAAATAAAAGTACTTTACAGAATAACCCGAAGATATGTTTAGCAAACTGTTCCCTCGTAAAACGTTAACTGGAAGTTGTCTTATGTCAGTAGGAACTGTGGAAAAAGTATTCGTCAAAGAATTTTCATCATACTTCTATTATCCGTAAAAAAATTTAACATCTATTTTATCAAATTGAAATTATTTCTTACAACAGTGAAACGGTTAGTTACGTTCCTAGAACTTGAACTAACACTAATATTCATTCTGTAAACCAATCGGAAAGTAAAATGTAAGATTAATTTGATTAAAGTAAAAACAAATAAATAACCCTTTATTACATAATATGTTACTTATAATGCTGGTTAGTATTTCACTACCTATTATGATCACATCACGAATGTCGAAGCATATAATGAGAAGTAAACCATTTAGTCCAGAGTTTTTATTTCATTCTATTCATACCCACTAAAATAAGCTTTTGATGAATAGATTTAATTTATTTATAGATAGTTTTATGTAGATGTTTTAATAGAGTAGAACTAGAAAATGTCCAGTAATTGATTCGATACATATCTAAACTCTGTATATAAAATAAATTTCGGCCTTTTTATTACTAAATTTGATGAAAAGATAAGTTCAATAATTGAGATCATGAGTCGATTGAAGCTAAACCCTCATGGAAATACTAGAAGCACTGGACGGCCGTTTTGTCCCACTGCGGGACTCCTCTGCACATCCACGACCCTTCCCGCTGGATTCGAACCCAGGACCTATCAGTTTCGCGCACTAGTGCTTAAACACAAGACCATTGAGCGGGCATTCAATGGTGTTAATGTCTAACTTCAACTAATCCACAAAATTGCGCCACACATACATCATTATCATCTGTGAGTTACTATATTACAACTAACCCGGTTGAACTCCATGTTCATTGCTTCTCACTAGAACTCTAGGATATATATCATGAAGCCAGTCACTAGTGAGCATATGTTGACTAGTATCAGAAGGGGTTTTGTGGAGATTGTAGTAATTTCAATAGTTGAGATTCTGAGATAATTAACAATTAAATCAACTGATATAAATCTATTTCACACAGGTTATTTTAAACTCAAAATCATACATTTAAAGTAATTACAGATGTAAAATAACCTCTGTTGTGAGAATAAAGAGAATGCGTTGATTAATTTGTTCTT